AGTCACGTGACGCTGCTACGAGCCTTACTCTTGGCCGCCTTCTGGCGACGGACGAGCAAGTTCACTTTCGCCAGGTCACGTCGGCGAAGGAGTGCCTTGATGTTATAGTTGCTCGTTACTCCAGACAGAGTCGCACTTGCTTCGGTGAATGCCGAGCTGCTGAGGAGACACACCTGCACTGACCTAGGTGAACTGCGCCGTTATTTTGGCATGCATATCAGAAGGGACAGAGCAGCGCGCACCATCACTCTGACTCAGTCACACATGGTGCTGCAGATCCTCCAGCACTTTGGCCTTCAGTTCTCCTCTGCACAACTCACTCCTCTGCATGTTGACCATAAGCTCTCGTGCCCTGTCTCTGACGAGCCTGTTGAGCCCAGTGGTCAGTACGCAGAGCTAGTGAGGTGCCTCATGTACCTGATGACTTGCACTCGCCCAGGTCTCGCATATCCTCTTGTTAAAATAGGTTCTTAAGTTTGTCTAGGTTTAGGAACAAGGCAAGTAGCGAGAGCAACAGGAATGTTGAGAAGGAGAAGTGGTTGCACTAGAAAGCAAGGTACAATATATATATTGACGAGATCAAGGCACAAGGGGGTACACCGCCAATAGAGAATAACACACTATAGCTACAGCTACATTGTAGGCAAATATATATAGGGGTCATGCAGCAGCGTTGCCAAGCAACAACCCTGCTGGCCAAGTCCAACCAAGCTGCCGAAGAAGCCTACCCACAGTCCATGGCTGACCCCTGGGCCCCGCGCCTAGGGGATCTGGCTCAGACCCTCGAGGATGAGCTGGATGGGGCGGAAGACTGGGGGACGTAGAAGTATGGGGGGGAAGGAGAGGGAGAGCTACGGGCTGGAGGTGGTGACAGGGGGGGACATGGCAGGCGGGTCAAGCAGGGAGCCAGGGGCGGGTCAAGGGTAGAGGGCTAGACTAGCCGCCAGGATGTTCCTCGGGTTGTGGGCAGAATTGCTTGGGGGCTTGTGTGTTTGCTGGACTGCTCGTTCGTTGGCTTGCTCACAGACTTGCTTGTTCCCTTGTCTGCCTTCCAGGCGGCCTGCTTGCTGGTTGTCTCTCTCTGCTGCTCGGTGGCTACCCTGTCTGCATGATACTGGGCTATCCCTGCAGGACTATCAGTCTGGAAGTTGGTAGTAGACTCCCTTGCATGCCTAGGACCACCTAGCACCTGTCTTACCATGCCTGTATCCTTATAAACCCATCAATGAAGGACTGCTTGAGAGAGAGAGAGAGAGAGAGAGAGAGAGAGAGAGAGAGAGAGAGAGAGAGAGACAGAGAGAGAGAGAGAGAGAGAGATAGAGAGAGAGAGAGAGAGAGAGAGAGAGAGAGAGAGAGAGAGAGAGAGAGAGAGAGAGAGAGAGAGGAGAGGAGGTGGTGGGCTGCGGCTGGAGGTACTGGCTCATGGGCGACTGGAGTGCTGGCTTACGGGCGGCTGGAGCAACGAGCTTACGGCGGGCCGAAGCTGCTGGCTCACGGGCTACTGGAGTGTTGGCTCACGGGCGGCTGGAGTGCTGGCTCACGGCTGCCATCCCCCTCACCCCCCCCCCCCCCCCCCCTCCCCCTCTGGAACCTCCCCCCCACAGCAGCAGGCGTGGCAGGGAGACGATATGAAAAGGAGGACGAGGCGGAAGGGCGGAAACATCTGAAGGAGGCGATGGGCGGCAATCGGTGTAGTGTTTCTCCTTGTAACGGTGGTGCACCTTCTTGCCTTGCTTGTTCGTGCTTATGTTCTTCTCCCCATCCTATAGTGAAACCCCTCTTCCTTGCTAGCACCTGTGCAAGCAACAGCAGAGGATCCTACACAAGAGGCATCTAGAGATCCTAGTCGAGGCACGCACGAATAATAAGAGTTAGTTACACTATAGTCATCAGCATACATGACAGGGGCAGAAAATAAAGCAGCATGCAGATCAGTGATATCCATGGTTAACATTGCGGGCAAAACGGCTGAGCAGCGAGGCCCAGTCCGGGGCGGGTGCGCCGAGCTCGTAACGCTGGCAGTAGAGGTCGGTGAGGCGACCAAAACATTGCTCAGAGGGGTGAGTGCGTCCGCAGGCGAGGCTGCGGCGCGGACCAGTCATAAGCATGTACTGGCAGAGTCTGGCAGGAGGGCCACGCGACGTCCATCTGGCAGGCCCACCACCGCGACCACTGCTTCCGAGGCCGACCTGACACCACAGCTGCTTCGGGCCCCACTGCTGAAACTGTTATGGCTGCTGCAGCTGAAACTGCCGCCGCTGCTGCTATGGCTGCTGCTGCTCCTGCGGCTGCTGCTGCTGCTGCTGCACCGCCAGACCCCTCAGGACCAGCACCATTTCCAGGTGCTCCACCAGACCCAGTATCTCCTCCAGCGTCAGCACCTACGCCACCTCCACCTCCGCCACCTCCACCTCCTCCCCTTCCACCGCCTCCACCCCATCCATCCTTCTTACCACCCTTGCGTCGCTGCCTACTAGAGGCAGCAACAGCTGCAACTCCGTCGAGGCAGCAGGCTCAGCAACAGAGGTCGAGGCCGCAGGGGAAACAAGCAGGGACGGGGCACACCCCTAAAAAACGGGGGGAAGCAAGGCAGTAGAGGTGGCGGTGATAGCACGGACACGGTTCTCGATCTTAGTGAGACACGTCCCAAAGAGGTCGATAGTGAGAGTCATGGGGTTCACAGTGGGGAAGTGATCGCGGGCACCCACAAACCAGTCAGGGAGGCGGGTCGCGAGGACGTACAGCGTCATATACATGGGGGGGAGAGGGGGGGGGGGATGGCAGCAAGAAGCTCAGTGATGGCAGCAGTGCAGAACATAGTGTCGAGTGAGCGCAGATGCGTGACTAGATCAGCGACAGTGCGGAACGAGGGAGGGCAGGATGTGGCGGCCTAGAGTAGCAGGAGAAGGAGTGGAATAGCAGGTGATAACAACATCCAAGAACTCCTTCCCCATCGTCATCTGGCTGAAGTGCTCCCGCTCAGTCTGGCGAACGATGGCGAGGCGACAGGGAGACACCGACTTGAGCATTGGTCGGCTGCTAAGAGGGTATTGCGCTATCTGGCTAGTAGATCAGTCATGGGGCTTGTGCTCAGTGGACGACAGCTAGTTGCACTCACGGGACACACTGACGCTTCGTGGGCGGACGATATCGAGACTCTCATGTCCTCTCAAGGCTACTGCTTCAGTCTTGGTGCCGGAGCTGTCTCGTGGAGGTCTACTCGCTCGTCGTCGGTGGCACAGTCTAGCTGTGAGGCAGAGATCTACGCTGGTGCTATGGCTGCCGATGAACTCCGCTAGCTGACGTTCTTTCTCACTGACTTAGATAAGCCGCCTAGTTCTTCCGTGGTCCTGTTCGTTCATAACAAGGCCATGATCCTCCTGTGCCAGGAGCCTGGACTGGAGGGCAGAGCGAAGCACATCCAGCTGCGGTACTTCCTGTTGCGTGAGTTGCAGCAGCGCGGCCAGACACGCGTAGTACACTTGGCCTTAGGGGCCAACACCGCTGATATCTTCACGAAGGCTCTTCCGCCTCGTGATCATCAGTGTGAACATGTTGTTTGCGCTTTGCTTAAAATTCCGTTTTTCACCAAAGCTCTGGTGTAGGCTACATGCTTTGCAGGTATGTGTTTTGAGTTTGATTCTGTATTGATGTGATTTGAAGGTGTACTCATGTCAATTGACAAAATTCCAATGGTGATCACGGTGATCACAACCGTGACCAACCAGTGGCAAGGACCACCCCCCTGACACCTGCGACCTGGAAAAGATGGTGGGTTATCATGAGATATTTTTCCAAATTGCGCACTCTGCGGGAAAAGTTTATGTCGCAACCGTGTTGAGAGTTCGATTCCCATTTTGTGTAATTCTCCAGAATTTTCGGCAGAGAGTTGCGTTGGCGAGAAACTAAAGTGGATTAAAGGGCGAAGTTCATGGGGATAATATTTCTTTAGGGTAATCTTCCAACTCGTCCTCGTGGCGATGTCATCATTCCCAGTCCCGCTGTTCCCAAGGGCGCACTGCCGTGCTGTTGTTCCCAAGGGCCATCTCGCTGCCCACCACCACCACCACCTCCATCTCCACAACACAGCCTAGCAAGCACTACCGCAATCATCATGTTTCGAAGTCCATGGCAGTTTAGGGTGACGCTTCAACAGTCAACATAATCCCCTCAGTTTACGCTTAGCAGTTGTTGCCTACGAACGATGTACTGACAACGTCCGATTACTCCATCGGTTAGCAATGACGAAGCTCCACTATTCTTAACAATGACGGTTCGTTAGCTCAGACCATGTCCGATACTCGTTCCTGCGAATCAGTATGTCCCTAGCTCGTTAAGCATACTCAATACTGATAACTCGCCGACAATGGCAATGCGCAGGCCGGTCCGGTGCAATGGCGACGCTCACTCTCCCTTCCCCATTTCGGGTGATAATTATTAAGCGCTAAGTTTCCTGCACTGAGTTCACCCTCCAGTAGGCCGCCAAAGCATTGTAACCCAGCTCTAAAAGGATCGATGACGGTCATCCGACAACCACTCATGGAAACTGACGAGGTTTTTTCCTAAAATAACTTATCCAAGGACTGCTTGAAGCCCGTCCTTCCGGCCGTCCGTCCGTCGATCTATCTCTAACTCTCCGCTCAGCGAGCCGGACGGTGATCGAAACCTTGGCGGAGTCGTCGTTCAACGATCACAGCGCTCACAACGATCAGAACGATCGGAACGATTACCACCGACCAAAACGGTCACCGTCACTGAAGGAGACCGACCGGAGTGTCTAAGAATAAAACTGCACATCTGTCCATCACCAGAGCTCAATCAGCCAGGAACACATTGTTGAATTGGAACCGATAACGAACTGGTAGCTCGGAACGGTCGCGACGTCGTTCGGGAATCACCGCGGGAGAGTGTTGGAGTGTCCGCGGGTAGCTATGTTTGTCAGTTGATCCATAACCGTAGATCAGCTGACCACCAACACGCTAGTCTGCTAATTCAGAACCATGGCGGGGTCATTCGACGATCCGGATTTAGCGGTGGAGGACTACATTCCCAAAGACAAAGCAGGTGCGTTACATCTTGACCGTACGTTCTCAATGCAGACTGCTTCCGTGCATGCCAGCGCCGTCCTTCCTTTACTTGTCTTGGCTGCCTACTCTCGATATTTCCCTCCGTGTATGTTTTGAGCAAATACGAAACGCACACTCCCTTTGTATAAGACTTCCTCACCGTAAAGAAACCCTTTTCACTCCTTTTCTCAAGCAGACATGCAGCTGATGCGCGAGCGGTGGTCCAAGCTGCTGCTGGGAGACGAGTTTTAAGCTCAATTCCCTTTGACATGGAACTCGTGATTTCAAGCGATCATTCCTAACCCCTCCTCCTTTCCCCATGCAGACATGCAGCTGATGCGCGAGCGGTGGTCCAAGCTGCTGCTGGGAGACGATCCCTCCGGAGGGGCCAAAGGGTGCGGCCCTGCACTAGCCATGGCCAACGCCATCACCAGCGTCTCAGGTACGCTTTGAAGCTTTCAAATACGCTGTTAGGGTTTCAGGTACGCTGTTAGGGTTTCAGGCACGCTGTTAGGGTTTCAGGTACGCTGTTAGGGTTTCAGGTACGCTGTTAGGGTTTCAGGTACGCTGTTGGGTTTCAGGTGAGCTATTAGGGTTTCAGGTGAGTTGTTAGGGTTCCAGGTACGCTCTCTTGTTCCGACCGTTACAATTCCATCATTATCTCGTCACCTCGTCTTCTCCTTTCCCCCTCCCCTCGCTCCTCCCCCCACCCGCATCCATCTTCGGAAACGGCCTGCAAACAGAGGAGGACGAGCTCTCGTGTTCCAAGTGTTACAACCCCTCATCAACTCTTCCACCCTCTCTCACCCCTCTCACACCTCCCCACACCCCTCTTCCCCAGCATCCATCTTCGGGGACGGGCTGCGGCTGCGGCCGCTGCCAGAGGAGGACGAGCTCTCTTGTTCCGAGTGCCACAATCCCTCATCGCCTCTACCAACCTCCCCCCCCATTCACACCTCCCCACAACCCTCCCCCCCCCCCCCCCCCCCCCCAGCATCCATCTTCGGGGATGGGCTGCGGCTGCGGCCGCTACCAGAGGAGGACGAGCGCAAGTGGCGGAGGGAGATGGGCATCATGGTGTCGGTGTGCCGCCACATCGTGGAGCTGGCACCTGCTTGGACCACTCGCCCTGATGGCAGCAGATTCGAGGTGAGGAGGGGTGTATCGCAGGGGCAGGGTGAGGAACAGGGGCAGGGTGAGGAACAGGGGCAGGGTGAGGAACAGGGGCAGGGTGAGGAACAGGGGCAGGGTGAGGAACAGGGGCAGGGTGAGGAACAGGGTCAGGGTCAGGAAAAGGGGCAGGGTCAGGGACTGGGGCAGGTTGGTTGGATGTGACGGAGAGCAGAGAAAATGGTAGAGAGATGGCAGGGAAGGAGCTGCAGAACCTGTTTTTTGTCGGTGCATTTCAATCGATGCCATGTTTGTGATGTGCATCACTGTGCTGCTGTGCTCTGTTGCTGTGCTGTGTTGTGCTGGCAGGTAATGCGTCGGAGTGTCCGAGCGGACCTTCGGATTCAGCTGCCGGCACTCAGCCAACTCGATACCATGCTGCTGGTAATGCCCACCTGCTGCTGGTAATGCCCACCTGCTGCTGGTAATGCCCACCTGCTGCTGGTAATGCCCACCTGCTGCTGCAGCAGCAAGGAACACGTTCTTCTAACGTGTTCTTGCGACGCGGAACATTTCCTCCTCCCCTCCCCGGCAGCTGTTCCTCCTCACAGCTCTCTCTATCACACACTTCAAGGATTCTTACACTCTCAGCTTCCCAGATCCTCACCCCCGATTTCCCCCTCCCCTCCTTCCCCTATCCTTTCTCCCCACATCCACGCGCCCTGGCTCAACCCCACTCCACCTGCTCCTACCCTGCTCCATTCTCCAGCACAGCCAATCAGACGAGTACTACTATGGGTGTGCTCGTGCTTATTGTCCTGCTCTCATACTACTCCCTCCTTCAACACCCCCCCCCTCCCCCCTCCCTTTCCCCTTTTTTCCCTCACCTTCATCCACACTTTCCCTGGAGCAGACTATTCTCCTCCAGCACAGCCAATCAGACGAGCACTACCACAAGGGTGCTCGTGCTTGCTCTCATGCTCATACTACTCCCATTCACTTATCCTCTCTTTCCCCCTCACCTTCCTCCGCACTTCTTCCCCCCAATCAGACCATTCTGCAGCACAGCCAATCAGACGAGTGCTACTACAAGGACGAGCTGCCAGGTGGCGACCTAACACAGGAGGACGGCAAGGAGGAGGATGAGGGGGAGGAGGAGGAGTACTACCACGAGGGTGCTCATGCTCAATTTCGTGCCCATACTATCTCCTTCAACAACCCCCCCTCCCAACCCCCAACCCACCCCCCGCCCCACCCTCCTTCCGCCCGTTTCCCTCCCCATCCTGCTACTTTGCCCCAATCAGACCATTCTGCAGCACAGCCAATCAGACGAGTACTATTACGAGGACGAGCTGCCAGGTGGCGACCTAACACAGGAGGACGGCGAGGAGGACGAGGAGGACGGGGAGGAGGAAGTGGAGGTTGAGGAGACATTGCGTGGCGACGATGACGAGGAGGATGATGACAGGGAGAGCTTCGGGGCGGGCAGCACGGGCGGCAGCAGCAGCGGCCTGGGCGGCATGGGAGGGTCGGCAGGGGATCTGTACGGCGCGCCGGACCGGCCAATCAGGCGCAGCGCCACGGCTCCCTCGGAGCGGCCTGCGACTCATGCCGGGCCGTATGGGTCTGGAGGGATGAGCGGGCGGTTGGGAGGAGTGGGTGGGGACGGTGGGGAGAGGGGAGGTGGGGGTAGGACAGGTGTGAGCCATGGTTCGGCGCATGGTTCGGGGCAAGGTTCGTCGGTTCACGGATCGTCCACGCGAGGGTCTTCAGCAGACGAGGAGGAGGAGTTTGCAGACGACGAAGGGCAATACAGCCAGGGAGGGGACTTTGAACACAGGGGCGCATTGCATGCAGGGAATACAGGAGACACAGGAGGGTCAGGAGGCTCAGGAGACGTAGGAGACGGAGGGGGCAGGGGCTCAGGGCACTACAGACGGCTCTCCTCTCCTGTGTTTGAGGCGGAGAGGCGGGGTAGTGAAGAGGATTTGCTGCAGCAGCGGGGCGGAGGAGGGGAAGCAGGAGGTGAGGGCGAGGATGCATGCAGCAGTGGGAGTAACACGGGGAGCAACGGAGGGAGTCAAGCAGGGAGCAGAGGCGGGTTGAGCCCGAACCCGGGGTCATCCTCCTGGGGGTTACACCAGCGGTCGAGCAGCGCAGCTGTTCCTTCTGCTTCTGCTGCTTCTTCAGGTGCAGGTGTTCCTTCAGGTGCTTCTCCAGGGTCAGGGGGTAAGAGGCGGGTATCGTCGCGCTCCTCCAGCTTCAGCTACGACTTTACGACGCTTCTAGGAGGGGGAAGGAGCCGTGGCGGTGGCGGATCCGTGACTGCTGCTGGAGGAGGGGCAGCGTCAGGGGCAGGGCTAGGGGCAGGGGGGGGTATTCCTTCTGGTGGCAGCGGAATTATGCGGGGACTGAAACGAAGCGTGACTGACGTGAGGGACAAGAGATTCATCCCAGAGGGCATGGGCGGGGGATCCATGGGAGGCATGGGAGGAATGGGAGGAGCAGGAGTGGGAGGAGGTGGAGGAGGAGAGGGGGCGGGCGGGGGGCGGCAGGTGTGGCGGTGGAAGATGAAGCCGCGGGTGCGGGGACTGTTGGGGGAGGCGTTGGTGCGGTGGCTGGAGCAGCAGATGGAGAAGACGAGTCAGATCATGAAGCTCGCCATGACCATCAACCAGCAGGTCCTCCAGGACATGCAGGTCCCTGACGCCTTCGTGCAGCGCCTCCCCAAGGTACGGCCTCTCCAAGGTAGGGCCTCTCCAAGGTAGGGTGCAGCCTCCTCCAGGTAAAGCCTGCATCATCTGGGAGGTGCTGAAGCTCGCCATGACCATCAACCAGCAGGTCCTCCAAGACATGCAGGTCCCTGACGCCTTCGTGCAGCGCCTCCTTAAGGTAGGGTCTCTCCCCAAGGTAAGGTCTACCTGAGGTAAAGCCTCCCATCCCATGGTAAGGCCTCCCATCGCCATGACCATCAACCAGCAGGTCCTTCAAGACATGCAGGTTCCCGACGCCTTCGTGCAACGCCTCCCCAAGGTACGGCCTCTCCCCAAGGTAAGGTCTACCTGAGGTAAAGCCCCCCATCCCATGGTAAGGCCTCCCATCGCCATGACCATCAACCAGCAGGTTCTGCAAGACATGCAAGTCCCCGACGCCTTCGTGCAACGCCTCCCCAAGGTACGGCCTCCCTCCCCAATGTAGGGCCTCCCTAAGGTAACGCTTCCCCAGGGTAAGGCATCCCCTAGGTAAGGCATCCCCTAGGTAAGGCATCCCCTAGGTAAGGCATCCCCTAGGTAAGGCATCCCCTAGGTAAGGCATCCCCTAGGTAAGGCATCCCCTAGGTAAGGCATCCCCTAGGTATGGCATCCCTAGGTAAGGCATCCCTAGGTAAGGCATCCCTAGGTAAGGCATCCCCTAGGTAAGGCATCCCCTAGGTAAGGCATCCCCTAGGTAAGGCATCCCTAAGTAAGGCATCCCCTAGGTAAGGCATCCCCTAGGTACGGCATCCCCTAGGTAAGGCATCCCTAGGTAAGGCATCCCCTAGGTAAGGCATCCCCTAGGTAAGGCATCCCCTAGGTACGGCATCCCCTAGGTAAGGCATCCCTAGGTAAGGCATCCCCTAGGTAAGGCATCCCCTAGGTAAGGCATCCCTAGGTAAGGCATCCCCTAGGTAAGGCATCCCCTAGGTATGGCATCCCTAGGTAAGGCATCCCTAGGTAAGGGTAAGGCATCCCTAGGTAAGGCATCCCTAGGTAAGGCATCCCCTAGGTAAGGCATCCCCTAGGTAAGGCATCCCCTAGGTAAGGCATCCCCTAGGTACAGCCTCTCCAAGGTAGGGCCTCTCCAAGGTAGGGCCTCCCAAGGGAGGGCCTATCTGCCCATGCACGAACGCGAGGGTGGTGGGTGGGCGATGCAGCTCTGCACGTCAACCCCTTCACACATGACAAGCTGCTCCTCTGTTTGATCCACACTCCTTCCTTCCAGCCCTCCACGCTCCCTCACCCATTCACCCCCCCAACCCTCCCCCCACCCCCCCACCTCTCTTCCCCTCAACCCTCTTCCTCCCCACTCTCTTCAGAACGTGAGGGCAGTGGTGGGCGACAGGGTGTATGCGGCCCTGCACGCGAACCCCTTCACAAATGACAAGCCACTCTTTTGATCCTCACCCCTTCCTCCCCACCTCTTCAACCCTCCGCCCTTCCCCCAACAGGGTGTATGCAGCCCTTCACGCCTACCCCTTCACGGACGACAAGCTGCTGTCCAGAGTGGACCTGTCCAATCAGAAGGCCGCTCTCACGCTCTTCCCTTGCTCTCCACTTGCTCCCCTCCCACCCGTCTGTGCTTCCATACCCAGAACGTGGGGGCAGTGGTGGGTGATAGAGTGTATGCAGCGCTGCATGCCAACCCCTCAATGACAAGTTACTCGTTTCCTTACTCCTCACCCTTCCCTCTCCCCACCCTCATCAGAACGTGAGGGCAGTGGTGGGCGACAGAGTATATGCGGCGCTGCATGCCAACCCCTTCACGGACGATAAGCGTCCAGTGGACCTCTCCAACCAGAAGGCCGCTCTCACGCTCTTCCCTTGCTCCCCACCCATTCCTTGCTCCTCAGCCATTCCCTCGCCCCATCCATTCCGTTTCCACCATTCCATCGCTCTCCATCTGTTCCCTTCCCACCAGAACGTGAGGGCAGTGGTGGGGGACAGAGTATACGCAGCCCTGCACGCCAATCCCTTCACAGATGACAAGCTGTTGTCAACGGTGGACCTGTCCAATCAGAAGGCGGCTCTCAAGCTGTTCCCTTGCTCTCCACCTGTTGCCTTTCCACCCTTCCCTCTCCTTTCATACCTCAGAACGTGAGGGCAGTGGTGGGCGACAGGGTGTATGCAGCGCTGCACGCCAACCCAGTCACAGCCGCCCAGTTGCTTCCCTTCACTTTACTTTCCTCTTCCGAACCACCTATTTCCTTGCCTTCCACCTGCTCATGCTCTTCAGAACGTGAGGGCGGTGGTGGGAGACAGGGTGTACGCGGCCCTGCACGCCAACCCCTTCACAGATGACAAGCTGCTCTCCTTTATTTCACTCTGCTCTTCCTCACCCTTGCGGCCTGCCTTTCACCCCTCCTCGCTTTCCGCCCATTCCTTCCCCACTCTCGCAGAACGTGAGGGCGGTGGTGGGAGACAGAGTGTATGCGGCCCTGCACGCCAACCCCTTCACAGATGACAAGCTGCTGTCAACGGTGGACCTGTCCAGTCAGAAGGCGGCTCTCAAGCTCGCCTGCAAGCTCGAGGCTGCCGAGCAGATCTGGATGCGCCAGCTCGCACTTGCAAGGTACTGTGCTGTGCGGTACGGTGCGATGCAATGCGGTTCTGTGCGGTTCGTGGAGGTGCGGGGTTTTTTGTGAGCTTGGTGTATAGCTCCCACCCTTTTTGCGATGACCCTGATTATTTCACAATCGTGAACCGCTTTGCACTCCACCTCACATGATCAGGGACTTGTTTACTTTACCTCCTTTTGGTTCCTCTTTGACCTTCGTTGACTCCTCTTGCACTTCTTTGACTGGCGTTGACTTGGCATGACCAGGGAGCCCCAGCTGAGCCACACGCTGGGCGGCAGTTATTTGTCCACTAGCAGCCGGGACGTGGTGCGATTGGAGGAGAGCCTCCAGCGCGTCTCCTCCTGCCTCGCTGCCATCCGCCGCAGATGGCCCGACCTGCCGCAGACCACTCTGGACCTGGCCAAGATCGCATTCAATGGGGTACGATACAGTTCTTCAGAAAATATCTACAGTGGGGAAAGGAGAGGGTTGAGCATGTCCCGTCCTGCAGCGGTGCTGTCTGCCACAGATGGGCCGATCTGCTGGAGTAGCCAACACCGCATTACACCGCGTCGCGTTCCACACGCACGCCACCCAAGCTCTACCCACTCTTGAGTTTGCAAGGAATGCGTGCACATTAAGATGCGCTCGCGCATCCGCAACGTCGCTGCACGCCAACCACATCATGCGTCTCCCCTCTCCCCCGGCTTGCTCAACCCCCCACCTCCCCCCTGCTCCACCTCCCCATCTCCCCCTACCCACCCCCTCTCCCCTATACTCCCAGGACATCAGCAAGGCGGTCCTAGAGATCTACTCACGAGTCCTTGAAGGCGCTGCCTCCAACATCCGGTCGCGCATCCGAGACGTGCTGCACGCCAACTACCTCTTCCTCAACCCATGTTATGCCCCGTGCATCCCCTCCATCCCCTCCATCCCCTCCATCCCCTCCCCTCCCCATCACCTCCCCTCTGCTCCCTGCAGGACATTGGCAAGGAGGTCCTGGAGAGCTACTCATGCGTGCTTGAAGGTGCTGCCTCCAACATCCGCTCGCGCATCCGAGACGTGCTGCACGCCAACTACCTCTTCCTCGACCCATACCGTTCATCCCATGCATCCACCCACCTTAACCCTGCTGCACCTCCCCATTCCCCGCTACCTACCGCCTCTCCTCCCCCGTGCTCCCTACAGGACATCGGCAAGGCGGTATTAGAGAGCTATTCACGGGTGCTGGAGGGAGCTGCCTCCAACATCCGCTCGCGCATCCGAGACGTGCTGCACGCCAACTACCTCTTCCTCAACCCGCAGCAGTTCGTGGACCTGCCCTGCGACCCGCACCCGCAGGGCCTGCGCCACCCCACCTTCAGCGTGCTCATGCCCGAAACCGTCTTTGACGCCGTCTCCATGTCCAGTGACAACAGCGAGTCTACTAACGGCAGCGTCCGCTCGTTTGATTCTAGTCGTAGCGGCGGGAGCGCACGGTCGGGGAAAGGTGCGCGGGGCGGAGGGGGTGGAGGAGCGGGAGGAGGGGATGGAGGAGGCGGGCTGGGTGCGGCGGTGGGAGTGGGGATGGCGCCGGCAGGGCCGGGGTATCCGGGTTCCGGGGTGCTGGGGAAGGCGTCGGCCAAGTGGGATATGCGCCCGCCTCGCAGCCCTGAGCTGCGCAGCCCGCTCATTTCAGGCGCCATGGGCCGGCTTTCTGTCGGCGGCGGTGCGGTGTCCGGTGGTGGGGGTGGTGGGGGCGGTGGAAGTGGGAAGTACATGCGCAGCCCTCTTCATAGCCGGAGCACTTCAGGTGCTGGCTCGGGTGCTGGTGCAGGTGGTGCCGGTAGTGGTGCCGGTGGTAATGGTGGTGGAATGGGTATGGGAGTGGGTGGGGGTGGAGGTGGGATGGTGTATCCCTCGTCTGGGTCAGGGGGAGGTGGGTCTGGGGGAAGCTCACCCTCCGCCAGTCCCAGCCGAGCCATGGGAGACAGGTTTCTCAGGCGCACAGGGTCGCTGCAGCCTAGGGGAAAGCGGGGAAACCGGGCGCTGGGGAGGAGTCAGAGCGGAGGGATGGCGGATGAGGTGATGTGTGGGATGGGAATGGGTGGTGGTGGTGGTGGTAATGGTGGTAATGGCGGTGGCGGTGCTGCTGGTGGTGGCGGCGGTGGTGGTGTGGGAGGAGGGCGTGGAGTTGGGTCTCCTGGGTTCCAGGTTTCGCCTTCGCGTGGGCCGGTGCAATTTTCGCCAGGTGCGGGGTTGCCGCCCCAGCCTCCCACGAGGACTCGATCGGCGAGTGCGGACTGGAGTTGAGCTGCTCTTAATTTAAGAGGTCCCCTACCATTATGACCCGAGAAGCAATCCTGAGAACTGGTCTGCAAGGGAGGGGGGTTGTATTATCACTATTGCCTCATTCTTATTGAAACATTGTGGGTTCTTTATTCCTTGATTTTTTGCTGCCACAAGTACATGAATAATTGTCCACATCTGGCATGCTGATGTTTCGCTGCGCCAATTAGTTGCGAAGTAATTGCTCTCGCCACATCGCAAACCAGTCATCTTATATCGCAAAAATCGAGGTTCATGGTACTGGAAGCGGCATCAAGCCACGTGGAACCCGAAACACGAAGCCTATCCACCTAGATAACTCCGTTCATTCCATCCTTCACTCTTTTATTCATTCCCGCCATTTCCATTTGTGCGCACTAGTCCAGTCTGGCCTAGGTAACTGGTCGACCGTCATTATGTCTTTAATCATGACGGCCAGCACCGGAGCAGCGGCTGCCACCTTAGCGGGCGCTCCACTTCAGCCGTGTGCAGCGGAACGAGCGGACACATCCGCAGTTCGCTGCTTAGGAGGCTCCTGGAGCGTAGTAGCTCCCAGACAAACCGCACGAGTTGGCTCGAGTCGCAGAGCGTTCCGCGTGAGAGCTAGCCAAGAACCAGATAGATTGGCAGCATCCTCCGGTTCAGAGTGTTCTACGAGTGGATCGCAGGATAATAACGGAGCCGCCTCTAAGGGAGCATTTTCTCGCAGAGCTTCTCTCCTTCTCGCCGCATCTGCCGGCGCGCTGCTCGCGGATTGGTCCGTTCTCCCCGCGGCGCAAGCGCTGCCGTTCTTGCTCCCGCCTGCCGGCTTCCGTCTGTACGTGGATCGGCTCGACGGCTACTCGTTCTTCTACCCCGACTCGTGGGTAGAGGTGAGCCCAGAATCGGAATATATTCTGAGTCGCTATCGAGAATCCTGAAAATTAGCTGTTGCGTCGACTCAAAAGCCATGATCAGCTCGACAGCTACTCGTTCTTCTACCCCGACTCGTGGGTGGAGGTGAGCTGGCACACTCGTTAGATTGAAGTCTGAGAGTTCTCAAACAAATCTCACTAGTTCGCGGCATCGACCTGCCGAGGCGGAAGACTGGATACTTCGCTTGATCAGTGTGGTGAGACGAGGGCCTCATTGGTTCGAGCGCTCGGAGAATTCTCATTAGGACGCGTACAGCTTTTGAGACGTCTCAAAGTTTCCAGACGACGCATACGGCTGTGAACGCACTCACCCTCCCAAAGCCGCGTTGGCTTCCTCTCTTCCCCGCTTGATTCGGATCGGCATGTGATCAACCCATGTGGGCTTTCGGATCGGCGTTTTTGTTGTTGTTTTTTTATTTTTGGTCAGCGCGCTCGTCCCTTTTGAGCTTCCAAGCTGCTCGTGCTCGTTCCTGAGTCATCTGACATCCGTGATTGTATGCTTCTGAGCTTCCAAGTTGCGCACTTCCCGCCCCCTCACTCGATCTCTGCTGTTGCTTCTCCGCCATTCTCGCCTCCATTCCCCCCGTCGTTCCCGCCGTCAGGTGCGGGGATCCGGGCAGGACTGTTTCTTCCGCAGCTCGTTCAACCTCGACGAGAACGTGAGCGTCGAGGTGTCGTCGCCCTCGTCGTCGCGATTCGCGGTATGTAGTGCGCTGTGTGTGTGTGTGCTATGCGCTGTGTGTGTGGTGTGTAGTGTTCCGTGTGCTGTGCCGCGAGGCACATATTCCAATCTTTTGACACAGCCAACCCGCGTTATATCCAATGCCAGTGCTGAAAAAACAAACCTACCCTGCAGTGAGGAAAAAGGTACAGATATTGCGAATCCTGTAACGCATATGATCTGGTACAGCCTGAGAGGCCCGCAGGCAGCAGGGCAGCGAGTAGAGAAGCAGCTGCTAACGGAGTTCATGTCCACGCACCTTCCTGTACCCCTCTGCACTCCCCCATTCTCCGTGTCGAACCCCTGTACAGTCTGTACGCGACCTGGGAGCCCCCCAGGCGGCAGATCAACGAGTAGAGAAGCACCTTCTAACGGAGTTCCTGTGCCCCCCCGTACTCCTCTGTACTCCCTGTTAACCCCCTGTTATTCCCTGGTTAATGCATGTGTCTGTACAGTCCGTGCGGGACCTGGGAGCCCCCCAGGCAGCAGGGGAGCGAGTAGAGAAGCAGCTTCTAACGGAGTTCATGTCCACACGCCTGGGCGTGCGGCGCGAGGCCTCCCTCATCTCCTCCGCCAATCGCATCGTGCCAGCTGGCACGGGGAGGAGAGGCGCCGGGGAGCAGGAGGAGGACGCGGAGTACTATGACGTGGAGGTGAGGGGGGGATGGGGGGGGAGATGGGGTGAATGGGGGCGGAGGAGAGTGAGGGGGGGGTTGGGGATGGGTGGAGGAGAGTGGAGGTTGTTGAGTAGGAGGACGCGGAGTACTATGACGTGGAGGTGAGGGGGCGTGGGGGGGCGTGGGGGGGAGTGGGGGGAAGTGGGGGAGAGGGAGTGGGGTGCAGATGAGTGCCGGTGTGGGGTCGGGGGGAGGGATGACGTGGAGGTGGGGGGCTGAGGGGGCATGGGGGGGCTGAGGGGGCATGGGGGGCCTGAGGGGGCATGGGGGGGCTGACGGGGGGTGAGGTGGGGGGCGGAGGAGAGGGTTGGGGAGGGGTGGAGGAGAGTTGAGGATGTTGAGGGGGACGCGGAGTGCTATGACGTGGAGGCGAGGGCGCGTGGGGAGGGGGGTGAGGTGGAGTGAGGGGGGAGATGGAGACGAGGGGTGTTGGTGATGCGGAGTACTATCATGCGGAGGTGAGGGGGTGTGAGGGGCTGAGGGGGGCCGGAAGTACTACGACATGGGAGGGGGGGTGGGGAGGGAGGGGTGAGAGTGGGTGTGGGGGTTTGGAGTGGGGTGGAGTAGAGTGAGGGGAGCTGGAGCGGGGTGGGAGATTGGGGGGGGCTGGAGGAGTGTGGAGGAGGGAGGGGTGAGAGTGGGTGTGGTGGAGTGAATCGGAGGTTGTTGAGGAGGAAGCAGAGTATCATATGTGAGGTGGTGAGGGGGCGTGGGGGATGAAAGGAAGTGCGGGTGGTTGGGGCAGATGGCTGCGAGGGCTGTTGGGAGGAGACAGAAGATCCCAAACACCCTCTCCCTCTCCCCAAACACCACATCACGCCCTCTCTTCCCCATCCACTTCCCCCCACCACCGCCCTCTAGACGCCCTATCCGCGCCCTCTCTCAGACTTACTTCCCTGCATGCCCTGCTCCCCATCCCCCTCGCACCCACCCGCAGCTGAACGTGAAGTCGTATGCCAACAACAACCAGCTGGCCATAATGCCGGACGAGCGAGTGCAGGTGCTCGAGTGGAACCGCCGCTACCTCACAGTGCTCGCAGTGGTGAATACCTAACAGCATATCACATCCTCTCCTCCCCACCAAATCCTCCCCACTCTTTGCCCACCCTTCCCCTCCCACCCTGCTTCCCACCCTCCCCTACCCACCCCGCTCCTCCCCATCCCTCTCCCTCACAGTTGAACGTGAAGTCGTATGCCAACAACAACCAGCTGGCCATAATGCCGGACGAGCGAGTGCAGGTGCTCGAGTGGAACCGCCGCTACCTCACAGTGCTCGCAGTGGCCAACAGACGCCTCTACCAGCTGCGCCTGCAGGTGCCCGAGAGGCTTCTGGATTCCGAACGGCCTGTGCTGCGGCAAGTCATGGACTCTTTCCGCGTCTTCAGCGTTGCCGAATAGGTTTGCTTGCTTGCTTTTATTGTTTGTTTTCCTGCAGTAGACAACCGTCAAGAAGAGTACACCTTTGGATTTAGCAGTTACAATCTTGAGAAAGGTCTACCGTCATACCCCAAATATAAGCCCTGCTCCTCGTTCTTGAATGTTGAGTTGAATAGTTGTTCTTCAGCGTATTTCACCCTAGAACTTTGCAACATAAGTGACGTCCTAAACTGTCCAAACACACCACTGAATTCCAAACATACCGTACCACAATTTTCCAAGGGGGCTGTATGTTGGAAGTTTGTTCTCGTAAGAAGGTGTGGCAACATATTCTGAGTGCTACGAAGGTGACCTTGTATCGGATCAATTTTGCAACATTTTTTGCGGCACATGTGCATCTGCGCTTTGGCCTGGCATCACGCTGTGACAATCGCTGGCAAATCACGCAAGGTGGCTCTGATGTCAATCACACTATTACGGAGGGTGGTTCTCCTTCGGGAAGTTCAAAGAAGGTGTACACTGACCAAGCGCAATTGGCTCGCAGATCGTGTCTTATTCGAATTGGCTAAAAACTATGCTAAAATACATTAAAACCGCTTTAGAACGTGATGTTTCACTCCGGACGTCAGTATGGCTGACGTCAGTCTCGTGAAAAAGAGAGTGTACGTATCAGAATTCCCTCCGACATGTCGACCCTCATAAACAGAATCAACCATGTGAACAGACAGATATCCATGTGTGAACCTCTGTGCTGAAATCTGCGCCTCGAGAATTTTACGAAAGTGCCCGACTTGGGCTGATTCGGTTTGCGTAGCCGCCGGGCTTGGCAGAGTAACCGCATGGCGAAAAATCGCACGCCTGCGAAACATGCGCAATGCGCAACTGCCGCATTTGATTCCGATGAGAAATTTGTTTCCCGCCAAAATGCTCCATCCCCCGCCACCCACCCATCGACTTGCAAGTCATTGTTTCGTGGGAGCGCGCACTCTCACGTAACACGCTCGTAAACCCCCCTCGTCATCAGCAGTCACCCACATTCTTCACAAATTCCTCACCCTGCTACTTTTCCATTCTGCTCCTGTTCACCGGTTATTCTCAGCCTCTAACATAATATTTTCGAGAGTCGGGATCAACTCATCGCCACATCCCAAAACATTTAGCCGGGGGGTTGGGGTACCAAACTATGGAGTGGGTGTGAGAATGAGAACGAGAATGGGTGAACTATGAAAATGAAGTGAGTACAAATATGAAACCCTAATTGGTTGTACCCCCTATGGGATACCCCACTATAGCCTACACAACAGCATAAGCTATAATGTTCTGACACACCCCCATAGGCAAAGTGGGGGAGAACAAGGGGTCACAAGACCAGTCAAGCAAAGCAAAGCAAAGCAAGCTCAGGGTGGATCACAAAGTCACCACACAGTCCGAGCACAGGGTCAAGGCCATACGGCCAGTTCACATGCAAGAGTACACACATATATATAAAGCTAGACAAGCAAGAGCAGGTATATATATATGTGAGAGTACAAGCAAGGTCAAGAGGAGAGCAAGTGAGGCAAGACAGGCACAAGACCCAGCTGAGTGCAGAAGCGCTGATGATCACAAGGCGGAAGTGCCTTGGTGAAGACATCAGCAGTGTTGGCCTCAGAGGCCACGTACGCAAGCCGCAACTGTCCACGTTCCTGTAGCTCACGAGCAAGGAAGTAGCGGAGAGCAATGTGCTTTGTTCTGTGCTCCAGTCGCTGCTCTCGACACAAGGCCAGCATGGCCTTGTTGTCTACGTACAGGACTGGAGGAGAACGAGGCGGCTCTCCAAGGTCGGTCAGCAGGTAGGTGAGCCAGCGAAGCTCCTGTGCAGCCATGGCCCCGGCGTAGATCTCAGCCTCACAACTCGAGCCAAGAACAGAAGACGAGCGAGTAGCCCGCCACGAAACAGAGCCGGAACCAAGGCTGAAGGTGTAACCCTGTGACGACCGCTGCGTAGCCTGGTCGTCAGCCCAAGAAGCGTCCGCGTGCCCAGTGAGGACCACTGGACTCCGCCCTCCAAGCACTAGCCCCATGCCCGACGTACTGCACAAGTAGCGCAACACCCTCTTCGCTGCAGCCATGTGCTCTGGTCTGTGTCTCCCAGGAGCAACATAGCGTGCAAGAATGCTAAGAGGGTATGCAAGGTCAGGTCGTGTGCAGGTCATCAGGTACATGAGGCAGCCAACAAGCTCTGGGTACGGGCCACTCGACTCTACGGACTCATCCGAAGGCAGAGCTGAGAGCGAGTGGCGAGTAGACAGAGGAGTGGCCTGAGGCGAGGAGTACGTGAAGCCGAAGCGCTGAAGGACCTGCTGCACCATGTGTGACTGAGTCAGGGTAATGGTGCGGCGTGCTCTGTCCCGGGTGATCTGCAAGCCAAGGTAGCTGCGCAGTTCACCCAGGTCTGTGCACGTGTGTCTCTTCTGCAGCTCGGACTTCACGTAGGCGAGTCCAGCAGTGTCAGCTGTGGCAAAGACCAAGTCGTCGACGTACACGAGGATGTAGAACGGCGGCAGAGAGGTGTCGGTGCGTAGAAACAGCGACGGGTCGGCAGTAGAAGGAGCAAACCCAAGAGCCGCAAGCGTAGTCCTCAGTGTGTCGTGCCACTCACGTGGCGCCTGGCGGAGACCGTAGACTGGACGCCGGAGACTCCACTGGGTACCAGGAGGGAAAGACCCAGTGAAGCCAGGTGGGCGACGCAGCCAGATCTCCTCGTGCAGGCTGCCCTGCAAGAAAGCTGTGCTGAAGTCAAGAGAGTGCAGCTCGTAGTCACGGTGAGCAGCAACGTGCAGCAGTACCCGAAGAGTGGTCATCTTCGGGGTGGGGGAGAAGGTCTGAAAGTAGTCAACTCCCTGCCGCTGACTGAAGCCACGAGCCACGTAACGCGCCTTGAAGACAGGCGGAGAACCCGGCGGCCGCTTCACCCTGAAGATCCACATGCCACTGACGATGTTCGCCCCAGGAGGGGGGACAGCGTCAACGTAGGTGCTTGTGGACTTCCAGGAAGCCATCTCTGCATCCATAGCTGCCTGCCACTGAGAGGAGTAGGGACCCTCTATCGCCTCCGCGTAAGAGCGCGGAGTCGGGATGTCAAGTGCATCCGGGTCTCCCTCAGGGGTAAGCAGTACGGACACGAGATGAGGTGAGGCAGCTGCCAGACACTGGAACTCCTCCTGCCTGTCCTCAAGGACGTCCGTGCCAAGGGCACACTCACCCCCGACGGACGGAGGACAGACAGACTCAGACTCAGCGACAAGACTAGCAGCGTAGTCTAAGCGACAGCGAGCAGCAAAGTCGACGAGCTCAGTAACGAGAGCAGACGCAGCAGTAGACTCGAAAGAAGGGTCAGTGACAACAGTAGCAAGGAGACGCGTGACAGTAGGACTGGCAGCACGAAGAGAGTCCGACTCCGGGTCGGCAAGAGCAGGAAGAGAGGACTCAGGAGGAGAAGGCAAAGGGGCACGCAGAGGAGCAGTGGACGGACGCAGAGACATCCGGTGCGTGCCAGGGACAGGAGGAGGACGTTGACGCGAACCGCGACCACTAGTGCGAGCAGCACGGACAGGCGACGCAGGGCGAGACGCAGGCTCACGACGCTCAGCCAGACCTCCAGTAGGACCAGTGTAGGGAGAAGGAGCAGGCAAAGGGGAGGTAGGCTGCAACTGTAGCTGGGACGAGACAGGCTGTGGACACTCTAAGGGAGGAGGAGGACCAGTAGAAGGTGGAAGACCAAGAACCTGCTGCAGGAGTGGAACGAAGTACGGTCGAGGCCGCGCGGCGACGCTAGAAGCAGCAGGGACAGCACCAGAACCCTCAGCAGGAGCACCCGCTCCAGCAGCACCACCAGTAGCTCCAGAACCTCCAGCAGCACCAGGAGCACCCCCAGTAGGACTGCCAGCGGTAGTCTCAGCGCCAACACCCTCAGCAGCACCAGCTCCAGTGCACCCAGGACGAGCACCTCTGGGACCCGCGACCGCAGCACCCTCAGCAGCCGAAGGACCTCCAGCACCAGCAGCACGCCTCCAGCGCCGGGCAAACCACTCACGCAGCTCCTGTGGAGAAAGTGGCTCCCGGCGAGACGAAGCACTCGGAGAACCTCCAGGCGGAGCACCTCCAGGCTCAGCACCCCCAGGCGTAGCACCCCTAGGCTCAGCACCCCCAGACGTAGCACCCCTAGGCTCAGCACCCCCAGGCTCAGCACCCCTAGGCTCAGCACCCCCAGGCTCAGCACCCCCAGGCTCAGCACCCCCAGGCTCAGCACCCCCAGGCTCAGCACCCCTAGGCTCAGCACCCCTAGGCTCCGCACCCCCAGGTACAGCACCCCCAGCCTCAGCACCCTCAGCAGCACCAGAGTCACTCGACTGCGTCTACCTGGGACACACCTGAAGGGGCAGGACCCTGAGGGGGGAGGGGGTCTACCTGGGGGGGACCTGGTACCAGGAAGAGTGGGGGTGGGGGGAGGGACGGAGTGCGGTAGGGGAAGAGGCGGTAGTAGGGGACCGACTCGTCAAACGTGACGTCCTGGGAGGACAGAACACGGCGAGAGGTGGGGTGGTAAAACTGCCACCCAGGCGCGTCAGGGGGGAACCCCAGGAAGACGCAAGGAGCAGCACGAGGGGATAGTTTGTCCGCAGACAGGTCGCGGACAAACGCCCGAGATCCCCAGACCCGGAACGCCGACGCATCGCCAACCTTCCCCGTCCACAGCAAGGCTGGGGAGGTCTCCGGCCTGGAGACCCTGGGGTGGAGGTTGATCTGATGCGCCGCGTACCTCACCGCAAACGGCCACAGAAAATGGGGGGCAGCCGCATGCATCATAGACGTACAAGCGACGTCCATGACCATGCCAATGCGGCGCTCAGCAATCCCATTTTGCTGCGGTGAGTCCGGAAGCGTGAAGGTCTGACGGATGCCCCGTGCACGACAGTAGGCACGCAGAAGGCCAGAGGAGAACTCTCCGCCTCTGTCCGAGTGCAGACGCAGAACAGGAA